GAATTTTACTGAAATTTGAAACATTCCAATTTTGAGAAAAATCGAACAATAATAACATTTGGCATTTTCCAAAAGACCTACACAAGTTTCTGAAGTCACCTCAAGCACTCTGCGAGGTTGCAATCGCGCATAAAACACTATTACATCGTCATTGGCACATCACTTTCTATCATACAAGGAACACAACGCTGACAGAAAAACAAAAGTGTTGAAGACGGCCGCGCTGAAGTACGTCAGCTAGTAGGTGGTGCGAAATGTGCATGAACACACATTAACTTCTACCACCACGGCGGCTACTAGACGTTTGATGTTTCATTCAATAATTTACCGAATGATGGCGCGACAGTAGGTATACAGAAAAGATGGTTGACAACCGTGAGTGTGTTTAATAAATAAAGACAGTAGAATGTGATGGTGTGGTTATGTTTAGAGAAAACATAAGCAGCCTGGTGGTACAAAAGGGAGTCCAGTTATGTCAGCAACACCAAAAACTGATAGAAATGCTCCAGGTAGGTAATATGATTTCCAACCCCACCTTACCGAGCATTCATTAAGGCCCTTAGCAGCCACTAAATCAGAGAAACATTTAACACATAAATATTTCTAATATCGTAAAGTAAAGCTGTCCCACTATACGTTATGTAGGCGCTTGGGGGGAGAGATTTATAGCTCGTACTCATTCTTGACCTCGGCATTAGATGGGGGTGAGTGGTCAGCATCACGCCTCGGCCGCGCTTTACCCCCGGGAAAGGACCCTGGTACCTATTGGATAGGAGGCTGGGTGGGCCTCAGAGCCGGTCTGGACGCAGAAGTTAGAGAAACATTTCTCTGCCCCCGTCGGGGTTCGAACTCCTGTCGTCCAGCCCATAGCCAGTCACTATACTGGCTGACTACCCCGGCTCATAATACTAATATCGTATGTCACCTAACTCCATTCCGATTACAATGGCCGTGCGGTCTAAGATGCTGGTCTTAGCCGTTCATGTACTGGAATAGTGAGTTTGAATCCTGCTTGAGGCATGGATGTTTGTCCCCATTTTTTATATATTGTTCTGCCCTGTGGAGATAGAGACCTTGCATCAGAATGATCTACTGTCCAAGGAGACATACCAAATGCTGATTGGATTTATAATGTCAAAAGTATTTCTGAATCAGAACAGGCCATAAAGTTTAATCGGTAAAGGATGAAGAAGAACAAACTACGTGAAGCATAATGCATCTCCACCTTTTACAGAATCTGAAATTTTCTTTACCATGTTCACAAGAATTCACTATACAAATCCAATCCCAACCTTCATATCCTGTTTGTTTACCCTTCCATCTAAGCCTGGGTATCCAAAGTTTCTCTTTCCTTCATATCTTTCAGCAAACATTTTGTATGCATTTCTCATCTGTTCCATGTGTTCTAAATATGTGGCACATCTAATTATTCTTGATTTTATGGAAAATGTGACTTATGAAGCCCTTTATTACACTTCTGTTATGTTTTCCCTCTTAGGTCCAAATGTTATTCTCAGCACCTGAAACACAATCTGCTTTTCTCTAGAGTTCAAGTTTCACACTCATACAAGATACTAAAGTGTATTTCAGTCTTCTGTTTCTATAGGAAACAGGAAGAAAAATTGACAGTGGAACCACGGTTCCGGAGAATCTGACGTAAATATGTCTTTGTATTTAAATTATATTTAGGTAATAAATATATATATTATATATTCCCTCATACACAGTGCGTTAGTTTGCGGCTTACAGTTTCTATATTCCCTCATATGTTCAGCATTAGTTTTTGGTATTTTTTTGGGAACTTCAGGTTCATTATTTAATACTTTAATACTCATAATCTGTGGATTGGTTCTGGTCCATATTAATATTAATTATACTGACAAATATTTCACAGAAAGAATCAGACAATCAGAAAGACAGGGACTGAAAGTTTGATTAACGTGCTTGCTTCCATACAGTATGATGAATTATGAAAATTAAAATGACAGAACTCATATACAGTATTATATACCATTCATATTTACTTAAACACCAATATTGCTGCTATTTATGCTTGGAAGGATTGACTGTATTTGATTTTATGATCTACACATCCTTTCTTGCAGTCAACGACTATTCCATCTATGGCCTCCTCTCTTACAGTCCCACTATTGGTCAGACTGCAGCATCGTGTGTTACAGATCAGCTTTGGTCCTCCTACAGCATGCTCATTTAAGTATTCCATGAGAGGAAAGTTGTTGGTGTAGAATAATAAGATGAATACAATATGAAAGCACAAAATGAAGTGTTTAAACCTTTGACAGTCAACAGAATACACTTTATACTGTTTATACTTCCTGTTTAAGGCACATATTTGCATTGTATCATTTACCCAAATACCCAGGAGTCTGTGCAATAGGCTGCGAAACACCCAAATTAATTCTTTCAATAAGTCGGTACAGGTACACTTTTTCTAAAGGTGACATTATAAAGTCTTACATGTATTACGTTTCCTTTTGGAAGTCTTCTGTACTTGTCCTGAGTTTGATTCCATGCGCTGAATGCATGAAGTGATGTTTATGTGATACAGCAGTGGTAACTAATAGAAC